AGTGCAAATTCCGCGCCTATAAAATATGTACATATAATAATATTGTGTTTTCGACGTGACATAAAATTAAAACACAAGCAGCCAGTAAACATACATTAAAACATCGTTTTATTCGATAAGACCATAAATATAAGATACTATAATGATAATATTTGCATTGCAGTAGTTTATTACGAGAATATCGTATTTTATTTAAATAAAATTTCTCCGACAATAGAATATTTAAATGATATATAGAAATATTGTGTTAATTATACATTAAAATTCATCATGATACATAAACAGTTAAAAGTGGTGACTTTTCACTAATATAACGTATGCACACGAGTTATATTGTCTATTAGATTTTTATTTTTTTTTTGAAATTAAATTGAATCGAAGACGAAAAAAATAATAATAACGAACGCAACAAGTAGTCTGATATCAATTTATAATAAAAATAACATGGATTTGACAATTTTACAGTTTTATGTATTTTAATATGTTTTTTTTCAATTCATACGAATGCAATAAATACTGTTATTTAATACAGAATATCCATTAGATTACGTACAATATTCAATCTACATACGAGATAGCTCATAGCTACTTGGCCTCGGTGTATAACCTCGTTTTTTGTAGTTGTTTAATATTTTATACCATTACCGTACAGCAACTTTATTATTTGTTATTATTCTCGTTTTATTATCGGGTTGAACAAAAATAAACACTGTTATTTTATTTTATTTATTGTTTTTTTTTTTTTCGCGATCGATTTTCGAGAGGCGATCGACTCGAAATCATGAGGCATCGATGTGTTGGTCACTTCCGACGTAGTTATTGTCGTACGGGTCGGACGAGCCGGACAGTTATTGTTCGCATTTTGTTTGTTTTGTTTAACGGCAGTATACACGTAACGCGAAATGATTGAGGCGCAACGTCTGGGAATTAACGTGATAACCGATCAAAACGTCATGTAACAACAGGTCGGTCGACATTGATACGCACGTCTTATTTTTGGTTATACTGTTCATGCGGTATAACTATTAACCGATTACCGTGTTTTCATGTGTTCATTTTATGGTGAAATTTTCCCGGGAGAAAACCCCTGAGGTGAACACACACGGTGACGTGGGCAAACGTGTGCCGAGTGTATGCACTTTTCGGTGGATTGATTTGTACGAATAAAATCCATTCTCGTTTGCTTTAATCTCGACTACGTTTTCGCTTCTACCGCGCGATACGAAAACAATATCGTTATTATTAAAAAAATTTGCTGGTATCATTATTATTATTATTACTGTAATTACTATTATTTCGACGGGTCTGGTGACGGGTACGGTGTATTTACCTGATGTTTCGTGATGGATGACCCGCATCAACTCCGTTGCCAAGCGATTTTTCGACACATCGCGATCCCTATGATCTCGGATATTGTTTTCGCGTTTGGTAGAAATTCCCAGGGAAAAATGTTCCTCGGCTAATCATTTCACACACACACACACACACACACACATATACACCGATCCGAAATAATTATATACAGCGAACACCAAGAACGCTGCGACAATTTGGTTGGATTGGATCATTAGGCTATCGGATCTAGGATTTTCTCGCTGATAAGTGTGCTATGTTTCGTTGGAAACATTCCTTAGGTGCCGATATTTCTTATGATGTAGGCACAGCTGTGGGATGAAAAAATACATTCATAATTCGATCGATAAATTATTAGAGTGATCAGTTGCGCATTGTGCGTGTACTTTGGTTACTCCCCGGGAAGTAAACACGAACTCTTTGGTGCATTTATTGTGAATATTCATGATGGCATTTGGCAAAGAAGTATCGATAATTCTTCTCGATCATTCCAGTCGATACATCGCTAGGTCCACTACGGTGAACCTAGATGGACCGGAGCTACGCGCCGTTTTAAACCATCAGATATTTGTACAGCATTTCTTGTTTTTTGGTGACATTTGAAAACTATCAAATTTTTGAAAATAAAAACTGACAAGTCTCGCATGAGAATGCGGTGGCGTTGAGAGGTAAATAATGAGAAAATGATGTGAATCAAATCAAAACAGTTTTGAAAAAGAAAAAAAAACATATTTAAAGGTCCTCGAACGGTCAAGTTTCCGGGTCAAGTTGATATTTGAGAGGAGTCGGAGAGTAGAGCGTCAGGTTTAAAATAACGAATCGCAAACCAGCTTGAAACGAGTTGGGTCGATTCATTATCGAAATAACACGCCGGCGCGTTAATGAGTCTTATCGACTGACCGAACGAAAAGATTACGGAAAATGGGTTATTGAGGGGTGAAAAAAAGCGGACATGTCGTTTAAACTGCGCGATCGGTAGCCGCCTACTTTCCGGTGCACAATCGTGCTGTGGGCAGTGGCGTCAATTCGGTTTATTCCAGAGTTAGGTGATCTGCAAGATGCAATAAAATTGCCGACTCAGCGGCTCGTTTTACCAAAGTGCCGATTAACGTGAGAACGGAGAGGAAACGTCAGATCTGTCCGAAAATACAATGATTTGTACTTTGCACATAAGTACCAGTACAATACACACCTCATTGTTCTGATGCCATTTAAAACAGGCTATATATATATATTTATGTACTTATTTTAATGTCTTCTACTGTTCTTCTACTTTTAATGTATCTACTGTGTCTACATGTATTGTCTGTATAATTGTATTGTTACACTTTCAGCTGCAGTAATTATTTTTAGTTTTCATACTGTCATTGAATATTAAAAATAATACTTTTTTTTAAATTATATTTATCATATGTGATTTGTATGAAAAATGAACAAAAAAAAGAAAACCATTCATAAATTAATGTAAATAAAACATTTGAGTGCTTAAAAACAATCCCAATGAAGAAACGTATATTTTTCTACTCTTATTATGATTAAATAGAAAATATTCTTAAATAAAAATATTGTGCATTTTCATTATCATTAATGTTGATTAAGCTCTGTTGTAATTTGTTAATATATATTACTAATATCAGCGCATAATGTAAATATTTTTTTTTCTTCATTAACTTAACTTATTAATTTAAGTTAAATTAATTTAACGATATATTTTAACTTCACTGAATTGAACATGAACTAAATTAACTAAACATAATTAAGTTAAAAAACACCATTAACTTATCCAGCCTTGATTGTACCTACTTATTCATCATTCGTATTATATTATTAATTGTAGAGTTAAAACAGGTTCACCTCCCCCTTGAAAACTTTCAAGGGACGCGCCTGGTTTAAAAAACGTGTTTATATTTCGATGATAGGCCGACTTTGGAATAACTCTAAACTGTGTCACATACATGAGTTTATGGCTCCACCAACAATAAAAAAAAAAAAATATAAATCATTTACCTAGACCCCGGTTAACTATTGACCGTGCCGACGAAAGGGGTATTGTAAATTCCACCCGAAATTAATAGGTAAAAACAAGGTCTATGGTAAATTCCGCTCGGGAAAATATCCAAATAAAAAAAGTACATGTAAATTCCGCCCAAAAAAATTTGCCGGTACAAATATGGATTTGTAAATTCCACTAGGAAAAATAAATATTCTTAAACTAAGCGTTCCGGTGATTGTACGACGCGACCATAGAGTTCGCGACGCGGCGTGTTACAATATTTGGAAGTCACAAAATGTATGAACGAACACGGAACAATCGTATCTCAATTAATAATCTAAGTTATATTAAATGATGCGTTTATTAACTATCAATATTTTTCGGGCAGAATTTACATGTATGTTTCTTTACCCTTATTTTTTTTTGGACATAATTCACATGCACCCGTTCGAAACGGGAAAGGAAACGTAAGTGCAATGCAGTACTTCTGGGATCCAATGGGAGTGCATTACCTTTTATTACTTTCCCGGTTCATGGCACCTGGTCGGACGCTCCCAAAACGAACGAATCGAATCGCTATTCGCAATCTATTATTCACACGTGGCGCGCGCGGGACGAAGTATTCATGCAAATAGCTGTGAAGATTTCGATTATTTTACTGGAAGATGCGATGTCGACGTGTTCGTGGCCAACGTCGACAAAGTGTTCTAACGCATTGTTTTCCAGAAAACGTTACACTTTGGAATTCATTGTTTGGCGTCATACAAGTATTTACATTTTGCGCAATGTAGATTAGTTTTAAACAAGGCATATTCGAATAAGTCTGCGAACGGAATTCGCGCGTACATTTGCATGCATGTATCAGACTGCAGGTGCGACAAGATACGATGAAAATCAGCAAAATCTCTCATCGGATACACACAATGGAACAACGTATCTTATTGTTTTCTGGAGTTTCTAATCGTTTTAGTCGCATGGTATATAATATACTCGTATTGTACACAAGTTAATGTACATGCTTTTTTTTTTTCGCCGACCGTTATGATTATTTTTTAAATAAATCATTGAACATCGTCAATTGATGATGTTAAAATATTAAAAAATTATAAACGGCATCAAATGCACCACACAGGGAGTCTCAAATCGTAAAGATTGTAAGGCTTATTATAAAATGTATTTAGACGGAAGCTAATCATGTTAAGAAACTAAAAACAAATGATTTACTGTAAAATTATGATTCTTTCTTTTTTTTTTTTAGCGGAAATTCAATTGTACACAATGTGTTTATGAATGAGATTTGAGCAATGTGAAAATAGGAAATTAAATTTTAATTTCACTTATTATCACGATATTATGTTGAAAGATAAAAGAAAATACGCTATTAATAATTTCATTTTGGTTAAAATTAGTCATATAATTGTATTGAAAATTAAACGCAACAGCTATTAAACCATCTATGTATAATATAATACAGTTACAACAATATTCTGGTTTATTTACGATTTTAAAATACGTGTACACGAAATTGTACTATGGACTACAATAGACTGGATAATAAAAAAAAAAATATATCATGTATTTGATATTTATTTGTAGAACTGTATTACATATTATAATATACTTATTGAAATAGATGAATATTGAATAGGTGAAGTTTAATTATACAATTTTACTATCTTATTATATAAAATGAACATAAAAATGTTATACAATATCGTAAAAAAATTAACGACATGTTTCTTAACTAATTAACTACTGTTATAGCATGTCTTATGAATGCATCAGATCTAAATGACAATGTATTTATTTTTAATACAATCATTTAAAACGTGTCAACTAAGTATTAACCAGAAAAATATGTTTTTAGCGAAATAAAAATGTAATACTGCTGTCATGGAAATAGTTAATAATAATAAGTACAACTTAACTTCGATTATTCTAGAAACAATATTTAGTTTAACAAATTACATTATTTAGTAATTTATTTCTAAATCCGTTTCTGTAACTAGCATCGGTCAATGCCAGATATTTTTTTACAATATTTAGGTATACGTAATACCGAATATTAAATTAATTATTTTAATCAAACCAGAAATATTATAATAAACTACAAAAAAAAATTGAAAGCATGTGAGGAGTCATACGATGAGTGTTCGTCTCGTAGCCAGTTCGGATAACGAAAAATAATACCATTTCGTATCCGATCGGTTAAGGATTATACATGTGATCATATAATCTCTTCAAACCCTTTCTCTATCAATTGGCTTCGGACCAACTCTCTTAGGAATCTGAGCGAGTTAATTATTATATTAAATGTCGATAAAAACATATTATACGATCGAACCGCGATATTATCGAATTCCGATTCAGGCAGAACCAACGTGTTGAGGGAAGTTCCAAAAAGTAAGCGACGTTGCAAGTATTATCCATTGTAATTAAAGGACTTGAGCCAATAAATTTCCATTACGTTTATGTGTTTACATAAAAAAAAAACAATTTATAACATATTTAACAAATCAGGAATGAAGACCTAGTTTTTTTTTGCACATGATTCATCTTTATCGCCGTCCACTTTGGCCGTACAACCATTGCTCAATGCCAATTTCTGCAGGTATTCTTCGTTCTCAACCAGCCTAAAATTTTTCATAACTTCCAACATAGCCTGCAGTTTTAACACATAATCCGAATAAGCTGGACCACATTTGAGGAACTCTTCCATAAGATTTTCCATATTCGTTCTTAATGTTCGCATTTCCTATAAACATGAAGACAAAGTTAAATATATTCATACATTGAATATGTATTATTGTACATAACATTCAGTGCGTAGATTATACGTGTAGTATTATTAACGAATAAAACTTATTTTGGGTTAATTTAGAAATAAAATATGTTCAGTTTCTTGCTTTAACTGAAAAGCTATTGAAGTGTTTCCGAGTAAACTTATTTTACAGGAAAATCACAACGTATAATGTATTATCAAAATACAACCAATTACGAAAAATAAGTTTAGTCAGATCTAAAATCAAATAACTTTTATACTTTTTTTTTTATATATCATATTTTATAGATTATTATTTATTTATCCTCTCACAAATAATAATATACTTATTTGGTCGGTTGATTTGTTGAAAACAATATCATTATTGTGTTATTTGTGTTAATTTATTACAAATAGTAATATCAGCTTATGAAATATATAACAACAATAAAATTAAATAATAAAAATATTTCTATACTTCATATTCTATACTTCTAGTCCTTCATTCATTGATAAATTATCCGGGAAAAAATCGTAAATAGTTAAATAAATATATTAATATAAAAACCATAAAATACTTATTAAATGTTTGTAATAAAGTAATGAAAAATTTATTTATATAGTATTATTATATTTTTAATTTATGACCGGTTTTGAATAAAAAATTCAACATATTATATAGGTACTATTACGATACCATGACGTACTAGGGGCTAAACATTTCAGAATGGTTATTACATTGTCATAAAGATAAAAGGAGGTCTAAAATACACCTAGTTGGAAGTACAAAACCCGATTCAAAGATTAAAACTCTCCAAAAAACTTAAAGTCTTCCGTTGTAATACCATGGAAAATTCAAAATATAAGATGGTTATAACTCGATTTATTCCGTTTGTCCTTGGTGAAGAATAGGGAATGAAGTCAAATAAAATGATTGATTTGATATTGTCAATCTAAGTGTCTATCGATTGGATCTATTAAGTTGAATACTAATCATTAAACGAGTGAGATAATTCTGGATTATAGATGTGTCAGATCTCGTATGTTCCATGATTTCAACACAAACGACAAAAGTACCTGCCCGATACACTGCTAATCCTCTTCGTCCAAACACAACAATAAAGTGACTGATGGATAAAAATTAATTCAAACGATATACTCGTATTAGCATAATAATATATTGTTTTCATGCACAATATATCGTTTATACTGACGTGTATTTGTGAAAACATTTACATTAAAATTCCTCAACTATCTATAGGTACCTGGAGTTCGGAGCTTTCTTTATTATCGCTTATACTTTCGTACGACGGATCGGATTGTTTTTGTTTGCTGTTGAACTTAAGCTTTTGTGTAGGCATTTTATGGGAAGATGTCTCTTCGACCTTATGTTCACCTTTGTAAATAATTAAAGCCTGTGAACAAACGTGTAAATAAAACATATATTGCTTACTAAAAACTACATAATATCTTGGAGAAACGAAATATTTTTTCATCATACATAATAATTATAGAGGTTTGTAATTTTTTCCGAAAATAACTATAAGTTCCGAGCAATATAATATATTAATTTAGTTCTGTTATCATTCGTTGATAATTATTTCAACTGTATAATTTATATTTTACTGACTGTCACATTTTCAAGCACCTGTCAAACGTCATATTTTAATGAGATTTATGTTTATTATTATTCCTTGATTAAATATTTAAGCACACGCTTATTGTATTTCTACAAGTAAATTACTATTACATGTAATAATGTGCATAATTTTATTGTATAACATTTCACAAATCAATTATAATGATATATACTATTATATTGAATACCATGCTAAAAACTAATAAATAACGGTTCTTTTTATATCTGCACATACAGCACAATTCAAATAATAAAGGCCTAACCCAACAGTACACCATTGATATCATAAGTAGGTCAAATTTTAAAAGGACCTGTCCAAGATCCGTCTCACGACAATCCCCCTATATAATATGGGTACAAAACCCTTTTCTCGGGCTTATGATCACAAGTCATCAGTGCGTGTGCACCGGTCATTAGATTAATCAAGGAGTCTCTTGTAACAAGTAATTATTACATGCGACTATTTCACTTTTAAATTCATTTTTTAATCTGTGTTTTATGTGTGATTATTTTAAAGTGTCCAGTTTCAGTTTTTCAAATCCTGTGTCCGTCTCGCTTCATTTAAACTTATTGTACTTCTACGATAGTTATAAGTATTCAACTCGTCGACACCCGAATACCTACTACGGAACAAGTAAGTGCTATTTAGGCTTACCAGACCATACAGCTGTACTGATCAGCTCTCGAACCTTTGTGATCCCAAGAGCCCTCCCTTAAGCAAGAAGAAAGAAAATCAATCCACTTTAGCCTATTCCATCCCTTCCCCATTATAATCTTTTATTTTTACATTTATATTTTTGGGTTATTACATATATTTAAGAGAAATAATTATATTTCGATTGCCTCGTTCTTGTCTTAGATATATCATTATTTTAGTATCATTATTTAATAGACCAATTGATCATTAAAAACCTTAAAATCTCTTGTATATTTAATATTTATTATTATGATTTAAACATAAAAAAACAACATTTTATGCGCTAAATATACACATACAGTGAAGTAAAAATAATTCCATTCGACACACACACAATAACGCAAGCATAAATCAAAACATGTATAAATAACTGAGCATCAACATTATAGAATATTAAATTTGACGCGCAATATATATTGATTAACGTTTTTTTCTAAATTAGGAAATGTTAACACGTCATGTAAAATAAAAACAAATTAGCGTGAAGTTTTTATTTTAATTGGTAAAAATTATATATTCGAAATTAATTGAACAGCCATAGTTAATAATTATTAGTTTTTGTGGAAAAGTGGCAGTAAGGTTGAAACTGATGGTGTGTTTATATGCATTGATATTGAACAACGGATCAGGTGAGAGGTAAGAAGACATTTAATAATAAAAAAAATGCCGATTGTTACATAATTTTTACATACATAAATATATATATTTTATTATCTATTGCTATGTTTTTATCAATAATTATCTGTACTTGAGACACGACTCGTTTTACAATAAAATAAAATAAATTAAAATAAAATATTATACTGCAGGAATCCAAGGATTATGTAATCGAAGCGATCTAAAAGTATAATAATAATTGGTCTTTGAGGTAGTAATATATACTATATAATATTTTCTACATTCTTATCGCAGTACAACCAATAGTTAATTATATTAATTGGGTCATTTAGACGATAACTTATTCTTTTTTTTTTTTGTTCCGCTGCAGTTTTTCTCGTTCTTTAAATTTAAAAATACTACAATGGTACGAAAATAGAATGCGCAAATAATTAACAAAGGATCTATGTAGTGGTACATCGTTCTTGAAGTATTTATTTTACACCACACATATTCCATCTGACTTATGGCGCCGGAAATAAAAAATGTTCTTTCACAGTTCTCCTAGTGAGCCGGAATAACTATCGCAGAGAACCATATTTCACACATAAATACAAATTGCAAAATACTCATTTACAAATATTATTTCTATGATATTCGAATTTTGAGTCCTGCTAAAATTTTAGACATACATCCACTGCAGGTCATTAGTGAACGAGTCTTAGGGTTTATAATACATTATTCTATGGTAGCTGGAAAATGTCCCCTGATGTGTTATAAACGAACACTGTTTTAATGTATACTTTTAAAAAGATTTTGAGTAAATACTTAATTACATTTTTTAATGTATTTAAAATACTACTATATTAAAGTATTTTGGTTTTATTTTGTAGATCTGAAATTATCATAACATAAGCAAAGTATATTATAATATATATACTAAGGAGTATACATGTATAATTTATATTATTTATTAAATAATTGTTAGTTGCACTTAAGAAACATGATATGTTCAAAGTTAACGTTCATCAAATTAGTTATTTCTTTTGTCATTGTTACTATATCTTTACTAAATATATTATATCTACTTTTAGGTAAAAAACTTTTATTGGTTTTATAAGCCTTAGTATTTTTGAACGCTAAATAAAACTATAACTATTCTGGGACTACTGTTCGTGGTTGGGGGGGATGCAAGAGAAAGAATGAGTTTAGACTGTTGCATAGTAAGGTTTTCTCGATAGCTCATGTATAGTGTGGGCTATTATATTTTTTCAGCTTAATATTAAATACAAATAAAATCTTCGAAAAATGATGAAAAGTATTCAATACAAGTGTTTAAAATACCATCACATCAGAAATACTTCAAACTGATAGAATTTAAAAATATATCCAATACTTTAAAAAGTATTTGAATACTTTTACTCGAATACTTCACAATAGTTTTAAACAAATTAAATCCACAATAACTTTCAATTAGCTACAACAGTCACCAAACTCGCCAAAACTTGCTATAAATAAGATTCTACGTTAAACTGTCAAACCGTTCAAAACTATATCATCATTATCTAATAATATGTTTTCTTTTTTTCTTCTTTGGTAATATTAAATATAACAGGTCAGAGATATCCTCAAGTTTATTAAAAAAAAAATTCAACCTGATGTCACAGGAGCAGTTAAATTAAATTCTTAGATACCTTTATTTGAATGCTATTTCACAAACTATTAAAGTAGAGTTTTTTAGTAAATATATTATAAGCAACTCTTTTAAATAAAATAATACAAAAATATCTATTTGTATCACAGAATGGATAGTCGACCGATAAATATATTATACAACATTTATCGATATAGGTAAGTGCATATACACAATAACTCATTGATTTTGCTACATAAACAATATTAATCATATAATTTGCATTCAATACGACGTGTCTAAGGAACGTATATATCACTTGAACCTATTTTTCCCTGTTGCTATTGCATGAAATCAAATAATATGATTATATTATGTACTGTGCAGACGGTTAAGAGAATATTATTAGAATATTGTTTTTAATTATAAAAATTACCAGGGAGATAAAAATATTGTCTATCATAAAATATACCTTTAACGACGGAAAGGTCTAATCAATTTTTTATACACACCAATTCGTATAGCTTTAAGAAAACCTTCGATTATGTGCGTGTTACCACTAACCGTAATACAATTATAGTATTGATCTCTGGATATTATTTTGTATACATACATCAAGATTGTATTTATAATTCATTTTTATTTTCTTCATTTTTGTTATTTTAAACTTTTTTCAAGTTTACCATTTTGATACTATATTTATGTTTGCCATTTACGTAATTTATAAAATATAATACCATGTATTTATGTATTTATTCAATGTATATGAATAAAATAAAAAATTAAAATTAAAATTTATGAACCAGCATATAAGAACAATTAACTACTTATGTTTTCACAACAGTTTGATCATCAAAACCTCTGAGCTTATTATAAATTTAATAATACCTATTTGAAAATGTACAAGCGCTGAGGTGCCTACTTACACTCGAAAGATAAATATTATTGTTAGAGATATAAAATATTAATGATGCATAAATTATAATAAATAAGTGGATGCGAAATAAATTTTAAAGAATATACACAAGACATGACGGTTTATAAGAACGTTGCGTGAACAGAATACCATTATGACGAAAAATTTAAAATCATTATATACTCGTATAGCTAATGATATACAACGGTTTGCAATGAATATTTTGAATTCACTTTTTTTTCTTACTTGCCAGTAAACCAATAATTTGATCCAAACACAGCATTGATATTTCAAACTAAATAATTTTCAGAAATACTGTGCATATGGTTAATTGACATTTATGGGTCAAAAACATTCACATTCTTACTCATATTTATCCGAGCAAAAAAAAATAAATTTGTTTTTATTTTTGATCATGTGCAAATACTTTGTAATATTTCGGTTTTTGATAAGAATGTAGTATCATACATAAACGACAGTTTCAGATTGAAACCGTTTAGTCTCAATATTTGAAATAATATTTACCATGTTTGTGTTCTTTTTTGCCCATGTAAAATATAAAAATGAAATTACTAGTATCACTACGGAATTATACTGAGTGTATATAGTAACATTCAAAGATATCTAAAAGTTATTATACCATTATTATTTTTTATTTAATTCAAACAAAGGACATATAATTGTACGGTTTTATGTTCATTGATTATATATGTTTAGTTAACGAGATGTTTCATTTATGCATGACCACTTCTAAATTGGATAATTTCTCATTTTATCAATATTTTACTAAAATTATAGTTTTAAATGACTTTTTCGGTTTTAAATTTTAAAACTATGTAAGTACTAAGAATATATTTATAAAAAATAATGAATATTCCTCTATATTTTTATATTATTTTGCATCAAGCACAAAGCCATCATTATTTGTTTTGAAAATAATATATGTATATATTTATGTATTTTATCAGTCAATAATGATAAAATACGATGAAAATTATACTCATAGTTTAGTTCTTTTGAATTTCTATGACTTTATACATGTTATATTGTTTTGACGTACTGTTTTAGATTGTGAATTTAACGAGGAATATATGTATTAGTCTTATAATAATGTTTCTCATTTTCGTATTAACTTAAATATCAATCATTAGTCTCATACCGTATTTTATAAGAGAGGACGATTATTATAGTTATAAGTGAAAGATTCTTAAAATAGAGTCATGTTTTGTTTTATCGTTTAATTTTTTAATTGAAGGAAAAACTGAAAATAACCTGAAATAAACAGAATGTATAGTGAATGATAGTCATTAGTGGATATTTTTATTATAACTATCATTAACTCAATCAACTTTTCATTTCAATTTTGAAAAAGTGCATTTTGTGAATTACTAGTTTGAGTGCATGCATATACAAATTACAGAAAGTATATATAGGTTTATATTTCGGAGGGGGCCGATTATGTATTTGGTTTTTTAGAGGAAGAGAAGGATGAACACACTATTACGAAAAATATTAATTTAACACTATAAGACTTCTCGACTGTCTTTACACCATCGGAGAAATAAGTAACTCATTTTTGTAATGATTTATATTTTTTAAAAGTATAACAACTACATAGTTATAAACAATTTTTTTATTAAAGTCACTTAAAATTCACCACATATTTTCTTAAAAGAATAAACATATTTTATAAATATAAAATAATAAATTATCGCATAAAAAACATTCTAAGTGTCGCGACAAATTTTCGAAAACCCCCAGCATTAAAACATATCCATGTTAAAAATAACAATCTTTAACAATAGTGCTTTTCATTGCGGAGGGGGCCCGGACTCTCTCGCCACCCTATAAACACGCCAATACGCCCCTGATGTATTGTATACATTATTTTATGTTGTACATAAATTATTATACATAGTATACACATATATAAATTGGTGCGCAATGGTGTTGTAATTTTATCAGGTAAAAAGGGATCGGGACGCAATCGTGTTACAAATTTTTTGCACAATCGTGGTGTAATTAATCGGGTCAAAAAGAAAAAATTATGCAATGGTATTGCATCGCCATTACCCAAAATTTTCGGGTACCTGATGGTTATTGATATACTGAAACAGTTTAGCTAATTCTTAACTGTTAAGAGGTAATCAGTATTGAATTATATATTACACAATTATTCGAATAAAAAATATTAAAATTTTTCCTCTTATAAATTAACAAAATTACGTTTTAAAAATATATTCTTTAGTATTTTATGTGAGTGTTATTAGTAAAATTATATTTCAATAATTAGTTTATTTAAGCATAATATCAAATAACATGTTAAAAGCTATTATAAAGCCTATATTTAAATCTTGCATATAACGGATATAGTGGCTTTATTCGTTACCTTTTATATGTATAGCTACGCAGATAATAAGTAATCACAATCAGTGCCGTACATACGGGGGAGGAAGCGTTCAAACCCACCCTAGGGTCAAAAAAAAAGAAAATTCTGATTTTAATGATGATGGGTAATATATTCATAGTTTCATTGTTACGCTTTGAAATTAAAATATACAACTATACAAAAATTATAATAATTGAAAAATTATATTGATACGTGTTTGAAAAGTTTTGTTAACTATGCTGTTTTTATATTCCTATAGCTACTAATTTACTGTAATATAAAAGTAAACAGTGAATTAATGTAAAAAGTTGTATAAAATAACATCAATTTATAGCAGTTATTTATCTGTGCAACGAAAATAAGATAAGGAAATTTATTATGTTTTAGAAAAAATATTTATTTACATACAAATCCCAGCTCTAGTAATGAGTATACAAACCATAACGGGTACCCAATCCATAACGAGTACCCGAAATTTTGTAAATCGGGTAATACCCATAAAACCTGAGTATCCGAGTATCAAGAGTATCAACTACATATAACCTAATAAAAACATAGCTTTGATTTTTACTTAGAATTATATTTTAATGCAATTATTAGTCGTTGTTTGATTACAGGTTATTCAACCCAATTATTTATTCAATGTTTCAATTATGTATCATCTCCCACACGTTTTCATCACTTATATTATACTATTGGATGCTTGGAGTATTAATAAGGAAAAACACTCAAGAAAAGCTTAAATTTTCTAACATTATTAATATGTGTATAAAAACTTAAAAATTTTAAAACCAAATCGATTCCATTATAATCATTACTAAATTATATATATTAGACAAATATTCAAAATTCATTATTTCGTAATTCTTACAAACACTCACCATTTGAAAAAAAAAAAATTCTACGAACTAAAGTATACACATATGAACCGATTGCCACTATAAATAATTATTTATACATAATAACTCATCATTGATGAATTATCAAAAATTAAACTTTTAAAATAATTCAATAACTTGATAAACTGTCCATATTAAATTTTGTGAAATATTTATAACAAATATAGTTGTATACTTTACCTTGCTACCGAATAGAAGACAAAGTAGTACAGTAGCCGTGAGTTGAGCGTGACAAAAAAATATGACGTATTGCAAATCTGGATTAGCTGGGTATTTTAAGAATATCCTGAAAATATATTTAAAATTTAGAGTAGGTACAGTAACAAATAATAATTAATAATAAATAACTTATAATTAAAGTATTTGGTAGAATATAATGAAGAATAGAATGAACTATTAACAAATCAATTTTAAGAATAAACATAATAATATTTGGTTTTCTACCAAATAATTGTAAGACCTGGTTCTATCAGCTTATTGATTAAAAATCCCACGTATAATTAATAATCAACTCATAATTCTTAACCCAAATGAATGTTAAAAATTCTGATATTTTTACATTTGAAATCGCACATGAATATCCGTCGTAACATGCAAAACGTATTACCGTTAATATTAAATTTAAAATGTGTTAATGAAATTACCCAAGTGTAGTAAACATATTTGATGCTAAAAATTGTTATGAAAACACTAATTAAAAACATTATTGTAACAAAAATAAAAATAATAATAACAAAATAAAATTTTTATTTCTAAGATTAAATCAAGTTAGGCGAATGTTTGAAAATAATCTTTAAATCTAATTTATTTTAAATGGATCCTTTAATATTAACGGAGTAAATAAAGATCTATTTAATATATTGTATGGAATTAAAAATAGAAAAAATATATTCAGAAAAAAATGTAATCCAATAATATTAAAACTCAATAACGATAGTAGCAGATATCTGATATTAAATTTTCAAACATATTATAAAAATGTGAATCTAGGTATACAAATCTTAAAATATTTTAAACTGATAAACGGAGTTCTAATACAGGGAAAAAAAACTAAGGACACCAAATTTTACCATAACTTTGGTTTATACCGCAACCTCTTTTTTCTGGTTTTTTTTTTATGTGCAAGTACTTATAATCATTTTGTGTAAGTACTTACATAAAATGATTATAATATTTTATTATTTTTTTTTTGTCATAAGACACGTTATAATAAAATAGGATCATATACTCGTATTATACCACTGTGATTATTGTGCACTAATATATAATAATATCGTGTACACATATAAATAACAATATTTAATATAAATAAAAGTATGGCTACTATCACATAACTTAGAACGGAGATTTTTTTAGAGAAGTATGTCTAAAAAACTAAAAATAAAATAACATAATAATATTATTATAACACAAAAAAATGCAAAAAATAAATCGACGCCAAAAAAAGCGCGTGATATTTATCACATCTCTAAAGGTCTTTCTTATCGATGGAATGGATCTCGTTTCTTAGTTGTATCTACACGAATTATTGCAAAGAGAAAATGAAAGTGCTTCAAAGAACGTGATATACTGCAGCACGAAATCCTAATTGAATATTGGAATAAGTGTATTTATAATTATGGAGTCTTGTAACTCGAAAACGAGTAAAACGCTTTCCCCTCAATTATTTGTAGGAAAGCAAATCCCAATAGTATAACGCATCACATAATTGGACTGAAGACGCATGATTTTTGGTCATTTACCTGAGTAGGAAAAAGTAATAACTCAGTGAAAAGAGATTTTCCATCAAAGACACTTCTTGGAGTGAAACATTGTGGATTAACTCGATAAAGCGATTACGGTTATTTATTACAGTTTTAAATCTACTGACCGGCCAAAATTCACATAGTTTTCACTATAGTTTTATTCCGTATATATATTATAGAACATTTTCTTATTATTTCACAATTTTAAATATAAGAATAGGTTTAAATTCCGTTAAATAGTAGTCGATTTTGAATAAATTTAAGTATGTTTTATTAAAAAAATAAATATATTCCAAATTGATTTAGTTAAACTGTGGTCAAAATTATTAATTAAAATATGTGTACGAGGAAAAAATTAAATGAAGAATATCATTATAAGAATAATAATGCCGTATCTAAATATTATGTATTTGGATTCAATAATTTATTGTTAAAAAAGAAAAAGTTTTAGTTTTCAAAGAGAAAGCAAAGTTTTTTACATTTTTAATATTAAACAGTTTCATATATCTTTGAACTTGATCGAATTGATCAAATAATGTTTTTCAAATCAAAATCCCGTTTCACTAAAAATGTTTTTGCAACAAGCACAGAAAAAATAAATAAAATACTTAAAAAAAAATAAGTATAAAACTACATATTATTATTGTTAGCTTTTTGCCCTTTTTTATGTGATATACTTGTATTTCATAAAATATTGTACGTTGGGTAACCTGAACAATAATTTGTGTACAATAATTGCGAAACGCTTAAGTTAAGTATAAATCATTTATATTTTGCAAGTTAAAAATATGTACAGTGGAGCGTCGATTATCCGGCCCGTCAATTATCTGCACTACAAAATTGTTGAGTGCAAATTTATTTTTATCGTTCGTTATATTATATATAAATATATATATATATATATATGTAATTTTTATATTATGTATGAATATTATATTTAACATTATATCTAGTAAATTAGTTTTTAACTTTATATTACAATTTTCAATGGTTGTTTGATTATCCGCACAAATCGATTATTCGCACCCCTTTTAGTCCCAATTAGTGCGGATAATCGACGCTCCACTGTATTTCATTAATATTGTAATCATTTTCAATTCTGTGAAAAGTTTATTAAAAAAAAAAAAAACTGAGAAATAGGTTTTTAAAACCTAGAAAATATGAACCTCAAAAAAAATATAATATGTATCTTTTATATTTTATAATATATATTAATTTATTTGTTTGAATATTTCAACACCACAAAAATTACTAAAATCAACAAGCATTTACAATTCCTCTTTATTTTAACTTATTTTATTCACATCGTATATGCATCGTTAAAATTTCTAAAAATGTAATAAAAACGTTAAACTATCCATTTTAATTCTTGAAAAAATATATTTAGAAATTATTGTAGTCTTTTAAATTATAATTAAGTATATTTTATACGAATTTATCCTCGATAAATAGTTTAATTCACTGTGATCTATAATTTAAAATTTTATTTCCAATAAAATATTTTTATTTGATGATCCCTAATTCAGATTATTGTTTTAGATGGTTCGTTTTAGATGGATATCCACAATTGTTTTATACTATGACTGCAAATAATATTGCTTACTAAATACTGAATAAAGATGTACACAATGTTATTTTTATAGTAATTATAATTTTTGGAATTTATGAAAACTTTGATATTTTGAAATCTACATTATTAGAGTTATAATTATTATAATTTACTACATTAAGATTTAGTAAACATTGAGAGTATGCTAAGTATCATTACTTAATCATGCCCAAAAAATTGTGTATCAACTATTTAATATTTAATTTAATCATTAGAGCAATATTGTTGTACTCAATTGTACAAAGAAAAAACATAAAGTTTTATAATCCTTATAATAGTAATAAATATGAAAATTATATTCCAGATAATGGACATTATGTTGCATCATGATCTAGTAAAAAAAATGTTATAATGGTACGCAAAGAATGTGATTTTTAAAGAAAAATTATTCATCCATTAATTCAAACACTGTATCATACCGAATTGGATGACACATTACGTCTTTCGAAAAAAATATAATATTTATTTTCTGCTGAACTTTTAAATTTATTTACATTATTTGAAATACTTTTCAAGAAATAACTAACACATTTCAATTATCATTAATAATTTTATTAGTACTCATATACTATATGTATTGAAATGTTATTTTATTTTTTTTTATACCGCCACAAATTTTAATTGGGATATTAAATATGATTGAAAATTCGACAAAAACTAAAAATTTCTTAGTTTTTTTTACCTTATTAAGAAGTTTAATACCCCTTTAAGTTTTCAAAATGAGAAACACTCTGTGATACAATTCAAATAAATAAAAAATCAGAAAATAAAATTACTAAAATGATCTAATAAATGTGCTGAACATGAAACAGATTATATTAAAAAATGTATAATTTTACATAATAAAACAATAAATGTTTGAATATTATGTAATCAAATCATATTTTTTTAATGGAATATATAAGAAAGTATAATTTTTTTTCTAATCTTGAATTCAGATTTGTCAAATATTAGCTCTTAATAAATAGTCAATATTTAACACTAAACGGTGAGTTAAGTGTTAAATATATTAAGTTCAATAATTATTAAAAATCAATATTTTATTATTTCAATAAGCTAAATTATAAAATCTATAATGCTATAAGAGCTTAAAAATATATAAATAGAAATTATTTTAAATATTCAATTTTTTTAAATTTTGTTAATCTCATCTCATATTAGATATTAGTTAAATAATAGAATATACTATTATTTCATAGAATGAAGAATTGATTGATTTAGTTAGTGAGGAGAAAGTGAAGGTTGAGGTAAAAGTGATGAAAAAGAAAAAAATGGGTATGATCAAATGGAGTTCCTGTAGATGTGTGGAAATTGTCGGGGATGTATGAATTAAATATTTTTTATAAAATGTTAATAGAGGAAAAAAATCCAGAAAATTGAAGAAAGAGTTTTATTCTGCCAATATTTAAAGGTAATGGATACATATAAAAATGTGAGAAGTATAAAGGAATAAAGCTGATGAGTCATAAAATAAAAATTTGGGAAAAAATTATAGAGGAGAGAATAAAAATTGAGACATCAATATCAGAAAATAAGTTTATTTTATACTAGTAAAATTCACAACGGATCCATTATTTTATGTTAGACAACTAGTAGAGAAAATAGGGAAAATTAGAAAATATTATGTATGTTGTTAAAAAGAAATGGTTAAATACGATTGATAATAATATAAAGGCCGTTGTCGCGTGCCTAGAAGATGTATAAAATCGAGGAAAGTGGAAGTTTAGTACAAGATTGATCGAGCCTAAATCTTTGGAAAAAAGGTGAAGGAGAACACTATATATGTAATATATAAATAATAGTTTTAGGGCAGGCAGTAGTCTTATATTGATCAAGCAATTATTTTTCTTAAATATCTTAATATTATTTTAATATATAATAAATTATATAATATATATAATACTTACATTGACACGTTAAGAAACACGGACATGATAAACTCGTTATATATCGCAATTGAAATGAATCGACTTTCATTGAATGCAGATGGCGTCTTCCGAACCATTACACACAAACGAATACCCCAAATTAAGAATACAACTTCCACTGAAAAATATTAAAAATATTAAATATAGAATCCTTGCATTCTGAAAATGTTTTATATTTTAAACTCAATCATTATAATATCGGCCATAATAATATTTAGTTTAACATCATAATCATGAAAGTTGTAAGTGATAAAAATCCAATCCATCCAATGCGAATTAGTTATGTACCACGAGGACATTTGTTGTATACATGGGCAGTTAAATGTGTTACTCAATTAAAACAAATCGAATATACTCATTCGTTATACGAATATACTTACAAATAGAAAAAGAGTGATCCCACCAATCTGTGGGACAGATATCTGTTTTAAGATTGTCTGCTGTGCGACCGACAATCGTGTGTGGTGGAGAAACCATGGTCCTGATGAACAGTATTACTGTGACAAATGCAATCATTAAAAGTAGAAGTTTAATTAACTGTTGATCAGTGATGCGAACAGTCTTTGCAGAGTTCACTTTAAACACTTGAGATACCCTGTAAATACACCAAAAAAGCCATTTCAGTTTTATAATGATGTATTTTATTATACATATAAAACAGTGATCTCAAGCCCCAGGCCCATTGGTTTTTTAACATGAAATTCGGTAAGTTATTTGTGTAATAAGTTACAAAATGTCCTTTTATTTTTATTTTATTTTTAACTTCATTATAAGTTTCTATTCTACATATATTTTTTTTTAATTTTTTAAATTTTTGAATATGATAATATTATATTCATATATTAATTATTAAATTAAAGAAATAGATTTATTGTACGTTATTAATTTTTCATTTAAGCGAAAATTATGAAGATTAAATTTTACAGGTTTTTTTTTATACTCATTGCGTAGCCCCAAAGTAAAAAAAAGAAAGTTATCCTCAGTCTCAAAAGGTTAATGATCCTCTAAATGATATCGGAAATTTAATGATATAAATATAAATTTTCAGTATCCTGAATTTTTTATTTATAATTCAAATCAAAAATATACACGTTATATTATTTATTATATTTTATCATGGTGATTGGAATCAAAAAAATTCAAACATTTATTTTGGATAAGATTTAAAAAAAAAAAAAATTACAATACAGGTGTAATTTCGTCAGATAATAAATATCTAACGTAATCTGGATATTTGTACATGAATAAATTCAAACAAGGTTCATATTTGAAATTTAAATGTAGTACAATAGAATATTTCATGTTTTATCCGAGATAAATCTTAATGAAAAGTTAAGCTACGTTTTCTAGTTAAAATAATATGATTATTTAAAGATGGCACAACAAAATTATTTTAGGTATTTAATTCCATCAAAAGTATTATTTATACTTTAAACATTAATTATTAATAAAGTATTACACTCAGAAATATATTTTATATGGAAACAATGTCTAATTAAAATAATCACAATTTCTATCATAATTTATTTAAATTATTTCTTCAGTGAAATTATACATAATTTGATGTATGATTCATATGCAATAATTTTAATTAAATCTATTTTTAATCAAATATGTTTAAATTAGTTTTTACGCAATAATATAATACAAGTACATTTTTTTTTCTTTTTTTTTTAGTGCTGACAAGGATATCAGTAGCTGGAGGAAATTACTGTAAAATGTACCTACTCATAAATATGATGAAATATGTCGGTATGAATTTGATATTCTACACAAAACCTTTCTTTTTGTAGTTAAATATTTACGTACGAATATCATTGTGCTGAATTGATGTAATTTCGCATTATAAATACTTTATTTGTGAGTATACATTTATCGATAAGTGTAGAAATGTATTGATAGTAACTATCAACTGTTGATACTTTTTTTGTCACTCCTAAATTGTGATTGAATTAGCTAGAAAGTTTATTGTACCACGCGTAAGATAAAAGTACCGAATTCAACTGACGTTTTTACTTACTATTTTATCGTAATATATTTCATTCTATTCGATTTCAATGAACATCATTATGACTAATTGCATTTGTTATATTATATGCTAATAATACGTATGTTTTTGTTCGTTGAAGTATAAAAACATTTATTTGGATGGTGTGAAATATTATATTTCATCCAGGTTAGGCGATGGAAGATAGAGGACCAATAAGCTTACGCGTGACGGAAAGTATACAGTGAAGGTAACGGTAAAGCTATTTAGTGGAAAACAAAACTTTGAAGGGGGAAATTATTTCCCAAACCATGTGCCACAATCGTTAAAAAGGAAGTAAGCGTATAAATTCACCTCCAAGTTTTCAACATAAGTGCGCCGTATGTGAGGGAAAATCCAATTTCCCGAAGCCAAAATCTCGCGGTGCACGTTATTAAATTCGGTGTTGGGTACATGACGATAATCTGAAAAAAAAAAATGAAAAACATGATTAAATTAGAACAATAAAACGCAAGTTTTCGTTTTATTATTTTTATGTGTATGGGTTACGATGCGGACGTGTAAGTGTTTTAATGTATATATATATATATATATATATATATACTATATTCATGGGATTTTAAGCTCTATCTATTTGCGTGAAACAACAATGTCAAGGTGGTAACCTTGAATTTTAAATTTGAATTTAGTTTTACTGTTTTACTGCTATCCCGTTTCTGAGAAATACTAGGTCAACGCTGTAATATTTCGTTGGTCGTTTACGCATGCATTATCCGTATTAAGGTTTTTTTTTTTTTAATCAACGACTTGCATAAAAATCGATTGAATTATTGTATTATCGTAGTATCTTACCGTTGTGTACATAAAAAAAGCTCCCAAGACTATAATTTGCAACAACACTGGACTAGCGGCTTTGACAATCTGAAACAAAAATATGATACTTACACGCAAAATCTCGAGTAGAAATTATTAATTTTGTAATAGGAAGACATATTTTATAGAGAACAAAGACTTGAAAAATAATTCAATGATTTTAAGATAAATTTATATTATATATGCCTGCATACATTCAAACACACTGTTGCGTGCCGTCGTTCAATCGTAACGATGGTTAAGTTTTTTAGGATAATACTCCAAATAAAAATACTCAAATATAATTAAACTGTTTATTTAAGAATTTTTTGAAAGTACAAAACATTAATTTAAGAAATGATCTGGCGTGAAGGTGCTTGCGCTTATACCTGTAAACCACATCTGAATATTGGTCTGTTCCCAACCCCCTTATATACTTAGGTCTCATGGGAATTGGCCGCGCATTTCTATGTAATACATTATTTCCAATTACTGTTACTACCTGGAGATGCTAAATTGTAATTAAAATGGTTGACCTCGGTAATATTACTATTCGAACATCTCTCATATTTTGTTATGCGCTTTTATTAATTGCTTTTTTATAATTCTTTGAAATGTAGTCTTGACAGCTCATATTCGTGTTACCCTCGGTTCTTACCCTTTCTCTTTATACGAATACGAATATTATATTAATAATAATCATTTCCCGATTTCTATTATTTTTAATCTACGTGGTCCCATCCATGTATTATGAGTCGTAAGGACCTACATTTATGTATGTCCGCAACAACACACACACACACCGTGTGTTTAGACAACGAATCCAAATGCAAGGAAAATAATGTTTTTGTAAACATCACGATCTTAAATTTATCACAGATACAAGTTACTGCAATATTGTGCGCCAATGTCACAATTTCGTTCTTAAAACAAAACAAACATTATATACAAACATGTATTTATATGTTATACATTATGTATTTGTTACTTAATTCTTGCACAGTTATGAAATGTCGATAAAAAATGTAATTAAAAAAAATAAAAAATACTTGAACACGTAAAATAAATGCTGGTTGACGTTTTACTAAAAATGTATAGTATATAACTGTATAGGTATATTATTATTTATATTAAATATTGTTTACATATACTTGTATGTTATATAGTTTTATAATAGGTAATGTTTATCAATTGATAACTGTAAATAAAATGAATTTTCCCTTTCATTTCGTTTTTCTTGATGCTTTATTGTATCATAATGAATATCGAATTCATTCTGTTCTTATAGTTCGATTCCTACTATATAATTTAAATGTAGTTTTTTTTAGCCATGCAAATTGAAATTAAATTTGATATGTACAAAAAAAGCGAAAAACCATTATAGTATGATGTTAGCAATTAAATTATTGAACAATATAGAAATATTTTTGTTTAATAAGGTTTATTCAATACTGTTTTTTAAGATTGTTTATAAAACACACAAATATAGATTTGAATACAATTATGGGGTAATTATTAAAATTGAAATTTTAAATATACTGAGACGTTATAATTTATTGATTAATTTTTAACAATTTAAAGTACCAATTTTAATAAATTTATAGAGAATAATTCTGAATGTTATAAAATACAAAATAGTATAAATTTACGATTGCAAATAAATGGTAAATTATTTTTGCAGTTTTTTATCAAGATGGTGTGTTTTAGTGTTCTGCATAGTTTAATCAGTCCGATCCGGTCTAGTACGGTCCTAACATACAAAATTATTGAATCGTCGGTTTTGTCCTGTTTAATAATTTTTAAGATTAGTTCGGCCTAGTCCTCAGATCAAATGCATTATTTTCAGTCCAGTCCGGTTTCAAAGAAAAATAAATTAAAATCAGTCCATTCCAGTCTCAGTCCGGTCCCAATGGTGGTACTTATATGCTAAATACAGATAAAGTTTTGTAATTAAATAAAACAAAAAAAAATCTACAACTTTAGGTATATATTTATTTACAAAGTAGGTAGTCCAGTCCAGTGTAATACTACACGCATCATATGGTACGGTTTGGACTAATACAGACTGAATCTTACGGACCGGTTCATAAACAATCCAAAATGTTTAAGATCGGACCGAAAATTCGGTCCACGGTCCACTTTATTAAATGTTATTTAATTACTGGTCCGGTCCGGTCTAAAAATAATGTGAAGCTGTCGGTTCGGTTCAATTATGCGGCGGTAATCAAAACCGCACACTTACCGTTCATAATCACACATTTTACATCGTTCAATACCGCACACATTTATTCTATTGTTAAAAAGGTAAATTTGAAAGGTCGATAGTTCAAAACCGTACACATTTGATTAACAGTTCATTTTCCTTGCATACTTTGCTTGTACGGTTCACGTTGCCGTTTCGTATGATTCCCACTCATAATGGTTTTTTTTTTATCCTGTGACCTCTTTGGGGTGGTGTTGCATAAAAAAATCGGAGGATATTTTCGTTTTACTGTCCAAGCGAGCGCAGCGAACGAGCGACTCTGCCCAGTCTCGAGGTGCAGTCATGTTATTTTAAATAAATGGATGAGTTATTGATAATATCAATGTGTGCGGTATTGAAAAGTTGAATTTGGCGGACATATGTAGGGTTAAAATATAAAAGTGTACGGATATGAACGACGACTTGTTTTTGAAAATATGCGGTTATGAACGATGCCCCAATTTTGGTCTTTGATTAACGTTTAATTGTGGTCCGGTCCGACTTCGGTCCCCTGGGACAATTTGAAATCCGGTCTGGTCCTTAAAATAACGGACCGTGCAGAGCATTAGCGTGTTGCAGTCACATAGTTAAAATATTTCGGCCCTCGTATACAATCGTTTATTCATCTGCATAAATAATATGAAATTTTTCTATTTACATCCTTTCGCGTCCTTCATTTCATTTCGCAAATAGTCACTTGCATACAGTAGCCGAAACAACTTGTAGTTAGTATGACGTAAATGGTATCTTTATTATAAATTATTTCGGTTTTGATATTTTTTGAATACTTTATACACGCTGAATTGTAAATTTAATAGTACTCTAAGAAAAACATCTCCTACAGTACATGCAATTACCATTTCACTTATAATTATATAAATAAATGATAAATGTAATACTTTGAAACTAGAAATATATTCAAAAATAAATGTCTGCCGGCAAATAATTTTGCACACGGTTGTTGGTATAACGGTTCATCGTTAGTACTCTAAAGATATTATTTTAATAATAATTATATTTTACGATAACCTAGACCTCATAACCTGCATATTATAATAAATTAGATAATTTTATTTATTTATTTTGATAAAAGTTCTATGTTTATCATATTTTTATTTTTACATTAAGTAACAAAATAGTAAACATCTACTTTTGAGGAATTTAGTAAATTATTAATTATTATGTTTCAATATATATATATATATATATATATTGTGATGTTATTACACTACCAATACCATAAGAATTATAACTTTTTTTTTTTTTATATAAATATCTAATGTTCTTAGTTTCTATTTAGAATAGCATTTGGCATGAATAAAACGATTAATGATTATAATTCTACTACGTACCTTGAGATTACTATACTTGTACGTAAGAATAGCAACCATCGGTAAAAATCCAATGACCAAAAGTGTCAACAATAATATCGTGATTCTAAGAATGATGTCGTAGGTAGCGATGCATGGGCTAAAATCAACGCAATCATCACAACCTTCTGCGCATTTTTTACATTGAAAATTTATTTCGACGTTGTATGTATTAGGTTTATTCTAGTAAATCAAAAAAAAAAAAAAAAATCATAAAATCAACGCATTTATATTTTATCATTATTATTTTGGTGATTCTGTAACGAGAATAAATATAGTTACGCGTCTATAAAACAAAATATTATACTCACCAACATGAGTTTTTCGTACTCCTCTTCTACTACGACACCATTGAAAGACTTTTCAGTGGTTGTGGTGTTCGGGAAATAATACCCTTTACGGCACACGCATTTGTAACTTCCTCGACGGAATCCAAACCCTGGCAGAGAGACACACTAAAAAATAAAAAAAACAAATAAATTAAACCTAATAATATGCTCAGATTTTATTATAGATTATTAATTTCCAAAGTGAATTTTTTTAGTAGGTGGTTTCAAAATTATCAGTATACACGTGTTATTATACTCGTAATATTTTTAACTCGGAATGCTGTCTGTAGTATATTATATTATATTTCAAAATGGTGTATACTATTATCATGTATCAAATAATCAACCGGATCGCTTGAGCTGTTTCTATAAATATGTATGACTTGATAAGTCTATAAACATTAAACATAGGGTTTTTTGGTGTATATGATTGTAATGTAAATTTCAAAAATAAATTTAAAAAAATAAGGACCCCAACAATGTAATTGAAAGTAGTGAATATTTATTATCACTATAAAGGCATTTTATATATTGCCTGTTTATACACATTGGATTTTTATTATTTTCTACGCCCATTACAAACGGGTTTAAAGGTTATATATGAAAATCCACTGTCAAAGTCAACTGGTATTTCAATTATTTAATAAAAATAATTTATTTTGAAAGAAAATAATATTTTATTAATATATATTTTTAGTGGATCTTTGTCGCATACGGTGATAGATTTCATTAAAATATTACGTATATTCAATTCATAAATGTATTGATATTTAAATGAACTAAGTAAAATAGCTCTTGATTAAAGATTAAGAATATATGAGCTTTAAAATCTAATAGCAAAAACGCATGTATTTAGTCAAATTTAGTTAATTTCATTTATAGTTTAATTCATTGTAAATTTTTTTATAAAAAAAATATTAGAAGGTTTTGTTTTCTAGCTTAGTAAAAAACAGCTAAACTTAATATAGGTAGGATCAATAGTAATAAATTAATCCCCGGTAGATCAAACGTTTTAATAATTTTCAAAAAATATTTTTATATGATATAAAATGGATTTTTTTTATTAATATTGTTTTAATACGCGTTGAACTGAAAGATATTTGACTGAATGAACAATTTAATAAAATTTAACTTTATAAATATATCTTAGCATACGAAATTTAATTCAATTTAGCATATAAATTACAAGTTAAATATTAAGATTAATACCACGATAACGAAGAAGTGTAATAATAAGTTATGTAACGTAAGAGCCGGAAGAAAATAGCTGTTGATGGTAAAGATAAACATAACTCTTATCCGTTTTCTTAAAAATTTAAAACAATTAATTTAATTATTTTAAATTTTAGATATATTCACATGTACTTGAAATATATTTCACAAAATCACTTGCATAAATTACTTTTCTAGAAGACTACTTAAGCATTATCATTGTTTTTAATATAAAAATGCTATTAAACACATAAATGTGAAATGTTATTTTAAAAATAATTAGATAGTGATACTAAGCATCAATAATTCATAGACTAAATTGAGAATTGCATACAATATCATATTCTATTACATTATATTGATTATATATACATTATATTAGATAAATACAACTATTCAATTTTTTTAATCAGAGAATGTCAATGATTTAAAAATAATTAAAAATATTAATGTATAACAATTATATCGTTATATTGTAAGAACAACATAACTTTTGTTGTTTTTAAGTTAATATAATTTAATAATTTTAATAACCATTATATTACCATTTTTCATAGTACTTTAATAAAACCATAAATGTCAAGTTTAAAATAACTTTATTCTAACTAATAATGAAAACATAAATACTAATTTTATTAATATATTATTTAATGTTATTTCATTATAATTTAATATGGGTTTTTAACTTTAAAAATTCTAATATTTTTACACTATTTTTAAGTCGATTATTAACAAATAATTTGAATCAATAAATGTAAATGAATCATATATTTGAATTAATTTTGGTGTATTTTATATCGTTAATGTAAAGCAAATTTTCAATATTTTCGGATGACTAATCCTGTTTTGTTATTTCAAAAAATACTATATTCAATAACTTTGTAAATAATTCAAAAACCTAGAAAGTACATTAAATTTATATCACAACTTTCACGCTTTGAACTATATTACAGTTATGAATTAAGTTAAAATTTGCCAAACTAGATAATTGATTAAAATTAAACTCCTGTAAACTAAAAGTTTTATTAAAAAATAAACTTGTTATGTTTTCATAACTATAGTTATAGTTATAGTCTTAATTTTTTCTTACGTTGAATAACGTTCTTACGTCTGAGTTTTGTTTAATTAAATTATTTTTTTTTTTTAGTAAATATTTGTACAACATTTTACTTTTTTCTGTTATCAATTAGCTCAAGTTTTTTATCTTCATTAAATGTAATTTAAAATATATGACTATTGGACAAAAGTCACATTGTTGTTATACGAGTACTATTTATATACCTGATTTAATTACTTAATATACTTAGTAATATTAGTAAAAATGCCTCTAATTTTTTTTTTTTTTTATTATAATAGTAATACTATCGGTTTAAGAGAATCTTTGGCCCAATTCAGGTGATGTCGTTGGGAAATATTTGCAATTAAAAATGTAAAAACACATTTATGAGTATAAAAATTACATGTATATTCGTTGCAGTTGGTACGTATTTTAACTAGTTCACTATATAATCACTTACTGTTGCTAATTGACGAATTCCGCATAGTAAAATAGACTTAACACGCAATTTAAACTTTTTAATTATTCATAAACAAATTTGTAGTGCCAATAAAAATGTAATGCAATTAATCGACGTAGTTGACATAGATCAAAACATGAATGATTGTATTTTACAAAAATTTAAATAGGCTAATATTTGATTTAAAAATAAAACGTACAAGGGTCAAAAGTTGTTTATTTATATTTGAGTTTTCTTGCATTATTGAGGAATTATTAAATTGTTTGTATTTATTTTTTCAAATACAAACATACACATTATTAATTTTAGTTTTAATGTTTAGCCCATTGTGGCAACCGATTTAAATTAATATGAGTTTTATTTTCACTGTATTTATTGTTTATTTCAATAAAATTTCAGGATACATGGTTTATAAACAAAATTTGACGAATTTTATGACGGAAATACACATAAGTGATAAAAACCAGTTATATTTTTGATGGATTTCTCCTTGATATTTACGGGGAGTTAAATTTAAATAATTTTGACATACTGAAATTGTTAGATTTGAGGAATATAATATACAAATTTAACATCAAAATTATGATGAGTTTATATGTCAAATATTGTGGTAAGTTTACAAAAGAAAATTTGTTTTTAATTTTCGTATAAAATTCATATCAATTACATTAAATATGATAGTTAAAAACAAAAAAAAACTATTACTTATCTGAAGTTATAACAATTTTGCTTAGCACTATATTTCATTATAGTTGCAGTAAAATATTTAAAATTAAATAGAGATTTACAAAATATATTTTTAATCACGGATATTTTGATTGTATGTTCATGAAAACCAATCGCTTTGATTATGTACTAAATTATATTATGTTGATTTTCGGCATAGAAAATGATATGTTATACTCATGGACCCATGCACATATCATAAATATAATTTCCTATAATGAACACACATTCATTCATATTCAAAAGTCGGGAGAACGATTGTATTGGATAAAAATTAATTATTAATAAAAGTTTCGATTGACTAAAATAGTCAAATATTTGTCCTATTCAAATAATATTTAAAAGGCAGTCGAATAAATAATACTTTATTATATATATATTCTATAATTATATTTCTGTAAGAAAGAAAATTTCTTAACACTTTAACAATTTTTTCAGTTTCAAGTATTAGACTAAATTATTTTAAGTATCAACTCGAAACTAAAAAGTAGAAAGATCATGGTTTTATCAGTTTTAGTCGATCTATAAGACGATTCCTTAATATATATATATATATATATATATATATATATATATATATATATATATATATATTTAGTAAAATAATTTTATATTCTCCATCAAAAATATAAAATTCAATAAAAGTGTATGGAATAATTATTTAGGTATAAATGGCAAATATTATCAATGTTTATTGTTTACAACTAAACTAATATTTAGCTATTTTTAATTTTTTTGAACTATTCAAATACAAGTATTTTATATTAATTTAAAATAATTGACGAAATTAATTTTTCTTGAATGTATTTAAAATACAATTAAAATTATATATATATATATATATATACTAGAATTCATACACAACACTTTTCGTAGACAGATCTCATTAGTTATTAAAAATTAAATATAAATATATATTTTAATCTTACTTGAGTAGTGTCATTTTTACATTTATTCGAAGAAGCAAAAATATTCAACTTTGTACTTCCTTCAGGTAAACTGCACTGATCAATATCTACTCGCCTTAGATCGATATCGATTCCACTTGTGCCTCTGTAATAGTAAGAAAAATAATATTTTTGATATTATTATTATAACTGTTATTCTGTTATTATTACTTAAAGTTAATAATTAAAATGTTTGTAATATTTAAACAATAATTTATAGAAACTCATAGGAATGTGATTCTTAACATTGAGTTATTTTTTAACAATTATTCATAAAGAAAAATATATTTTTCGCAACAAAAATAATGAGCATTATTATTATGATTGGGAATTTGATGTAAAGGCATCTTTTTTTCTTAAGTTCCAAATCGTAGGTCCGTATGCAGAAAATGTATTACAAGAGATACTAATTAATTGAATGTAGTTTTTATTTTGAGTTTTTTTTGCATTTTATGTCAAATTTAATTTAATATGCATTTTTAGGGCAAATGTTTTTATGGCATTTTTTAAGCTTTTAGAGCATTTTTAGAATTTATCTATTAATTCTTAAATATTCGGGTATTTTATCTCACGTTTCGGCACTTGCTCGATGAAAACTTGCACGTTTAGTTTATAATCTACTAAATTAATATATTTACAAATACGAGCATATCGGCTCATATACATATTTTATGAAAAATAGAACAAAATTAAAACAATCAAAAGAAATTTTTCTATTTGCAAGAGTCACCGAAACCATGGACCCCCATCGAGGAAGGTTCAAGACGTGGTATCTCCCCTACCCCCCCCCTGAGATAATAATATGAAATAGTAATTTTTTAAAATACTATAATAATTATATTATATATATATATATATATCATACTTAAATTGGTTATACTTTACAAATATAATAATTCTCCAGGCTAAAAATGAATTTATTTATTTATTTCTGAGTATAAATTAATAAATATATTATATTAATAAATTTATATTTTAATAATTATGAATTTATATGCAATATATTTCACTAAAATAATTACGTCATGTTCAAGTTAATTTTAATTAATTTTATTTACTATTTATATTTTGTATATAGAATAAAGTTAGTAAATAACTTCTATAATTGCTCAAATATTTGTTTTTTTAAATTGTTACAGAATTCTAAAAAAAATCAAAATCAAAATAAATAATGATGATGTACTCAATACTGTTTATATCCATCATTACAATTTAAATACCTACTTCATTCAATAATCAAGTCCGAAAGTATTGAACGTAATATTTAATACTATAAATATTAGTATATACTAGTATACTTCACAATCCTGACTGTTATAATGAAAAATAATTTTGTTGTAGAAATTCAGAAAACAAATTAAATTGAATTATTTTATCATTTTTCTCTTATATATTTTAATTGCATAAGTAAAAAATTATATATTTCTATAACTAATTTATTATGAAATACCAATAAAAATATAATATAATTATGAAGAGAAAAGACAATTTTAGGAGGTTACTGTATAGATTCGTTACAATAGAAAAGCCCTTTTATACTTCGAAAAAATTATAAAAGTATAAAATATTTTTAATCAATTAAAGTTGTCAAGGTATATTTAACTGAATTTTATAAGACGCTATATATCACAGCAGTTTATTTATTAGGTAATACGCTTCATAATATACTGTGATTTTTTTTATTATTAATAAGGTACATTCTTAAGAATCAAGAAAATAATTTTACCATAATTTACAACATATGTTAAGTGATTTTCAGTTTTGTCTGTAATGTTTTTAAAATTAACATTATAGTTTATAATATGTTGCAATTGGGCTGTATATGTGTTGTTATAATTGATACTATATCAATCAAAATGTATTCACAGTCTACAAGAAATCATTAATAGTCTTCCTGTCAAATTTATTTTCGTTATATTTTACAATTGAGTAATCTATAGCCAGTGTCATAAACTATTTTTCTTTGGAACTAACCGAATAACAATTTAACGATGAAAATAAATAGTGTTTGGTGACATATAAAAAAGTACGAATTGGTTATAGAATAAGTTTAAGATAAGTGCGTGTAAATATACGTCGACCAAAGCATCGTCTGAAAACAAAAGAACAGTAGAAGTGCCGTAATGTTTAACGAACATTAATGAAATTTGCTCACGTGAGCTATGGATTGTCGAAAAGATGAATTTTAAAGATGCCTGACTAGAAAAATTAGTCTTTACTCGCGATTCGTATCAGCGTTGAACCGTGACAAGTTATTCGATGTATTATGCAATTGATAATTTTTGCCATATTTATCTTATGATGATAAAATAATCTACTAAAAGTGTCCAAATGTTTTTTATAGTATCATTATTAATAATATGTTAAAAATACTTGTTAAAAAAAATGTCCGAATAAATATTACATTACAATCATCAGGTTATTGTGTATCGATCTTAAGGCCCATAATTGTCTTGTAGCTGTTATTGATGTTCAACAAACTTGCTCAATTTTTTTTATTTTTATTGAATACATCGTTTTGATTTGAGCACTTTTCGCCGAGCAATTATCAGCAGAGAAGGCATAGATTGTTGGTATCCTACCAGTAGCGTCAACACCACTTATTATTAAGAAATATGATAATAATAATTTTTCCACTTTCATTTTTAACTGTCGTTCAAATATCAAACTCGTCGGTTCATTTCACAATTATATCATATTAATTATCCTGTCAATAACACACGTATTAGCTGAACGATTGCACTGAGGAAACAACACAGCCAAATGTAGCGATATTGTCCTCCTGGCGATTACGAAATTTCAAAAGTTTGCTTCAGAACAAAATTTAATAAATATAAAAAATTCCAATTTTAATGAACAACTGGACGCTAAATATTATTACACCCGTTACTTGAAAGAACCGTTTTCATACACTATTGGCGACCGCATGCAGCGTATCACCAAATGTCACACAGCTGTTTTATACGAATTGATTCGAATGTGTTGTATGGCTGCTACACCACTAGTAATGTGTGTGATGTATTGCAAGATTAATGATAGAGTAATATTGCTTGCACAGAAATCCTCAGTATAGTATAAAATAAATTTGCGTTCAGTTATCAGGGGCGTATACAAGGGGGGATGTGCGAGTTAAATCCCCCCGTAGATCTTTTTAAAATTGCATAAAATAGTATTTTTAATGTAAGGAAATTATAAGAAAACAAAAGAATATTGCAAATATTTATTGTATATTATTATTTTCATAATATATATCTTTTATTATTTATTATTTAAATATGCAGGTACTTAGGTTTAGGAATTTTCCTTCCATAATAATTTGTTTGCAACTGACCCCCGCATACAAAATGTATGTATACGCCACTGACAGCAATTAAAATCGTCTAATAATTGATCGTAAAAATAATAACATGTTTGTAAAACATAAACGAAATACGTAATAAGTATAGTATATGAATGAAGTGAAATAATTAGACATACGAATACTGAGTTAACTAACAAAAATATAATAATTATTATGAATTAAATGATATATCTTATATCCAATGTAATTTATTGGTTATCACGTGTACGTATTCTATTTTAATATTATATTAATCGGTTATCACACTACTTCGCAGATTAGCCTAAATACTATTTCACTCAGAAATTGATTATGATATATTATAATATATTATTATTATATACGTTTGTCGATGTGTATCAATTATCGTATAACTGACGTGTTTTATAAAAATCTGAGTTATTGAACGTATATAATATTTATACATTGAATAGTTTGATAAATTTCTCTACTGATTATTTAATAAGAAATACATAAGAACTAAGAGGAGACATAAATCGAAGTAAAATAATGGGTTTTAGATGATGTACAAAAGACAAAAATCGGTTGAAAGCACTACTTGACTAATTCATTAGGTAGTGACTGAAACGTAATTATATTAAACCGATCTCGCGTTACGTGAAAACGACAAGATTTTAATGATATACCATATTGTCTTCGCATGAGGTGCTTGCCGTCTTTACAATTATTATATGTAGAACATCATTAAAGAGAATCTTAAGAAGTTCGGCTGCTGAAATCGGCAAAAACTAACCGTAGTTACCTAAAGATTACATCCTAGCTTAAAATCAACACACTGTCAATAGCTAAATTAGACCTTTCAACGTGATCATCCGCAAAAGGATTGTTTGTCTGAACAAGAAACTCTTGACCCTTTCGCAATACGTGTAATGGAAATCTCCGAGCCTTCATTATAAAAACAAACATTAGTAAATTTAATATTCTCTCCGTAGAACTTGAATAATATTTTATGAGGGTCGGGAATAAAGGAACCAATAATTATCAACGAAAACCCTAAATTTCAAATAAAATCAGCGGTCACTTACTTAAAAAAGTACTTTCCATCTTTGAAAGCAAAAAATGGTACGGTATATGTGAGCATCCATATGTTACCACCACCACAATCGTAATATGGTTTACTCCATTTACCATCTTCATACGAGACCGCTAGTATATCGTCAGGGAAACTTTTTGTGTGACTCGTTTGATTCCATGTGTACGTGTTAATTGCTGAAAAAAAAATTGTTTATCAATTATTATGGAGAATCCAAGAATGATAATAATTTTAAATAATATTAATTTAATAATTAATTATTAAATCATTTTAAGTACTATTAAAATTAATACTATGCCACGAAAAATATCGATAACCATTACAGTCATACTCCAAAATTACTCGTATTTAAGATTAATTTATCTTTTTTTAAATGTTTCCACATTGCATTAGTGTGAATATGTTTGAGTCTATTCAAGTTATGTTACGGCCATATCCATCCTCAACAAAATAATGTCATAACCCCTTTGTGATAGAATATAATTCGAAGGCACTGACACTAAATTTTTATTTACTAATCATTTGAAGTGTAAAATTAACTGTGTTATGAGATGTATTTAAATGTATTTAAAAAACAAATGGGCCTTAACCACAGATCATGTATGAATAACATTATTAATCAAATAAATACATGGAACCTGCATTACTATTGAATAATATTTTTGGTTGGAAATCACATAGGATTTGTTCGACGTTAACCTAATTTTATTAATACTTATATTTATATAGATCGAAAATAACGTATATTATTTTGTTGTAAGTCATTCAAAAATTTGAGTGATGTTATTGACTCTATCTCTATAATCATACATTTTCCATAAATATTTATAACATTGGATTTTTTGTGTTGTAATTTAATCTATAACTCAAATGTATATTTTGAGTTTTCAATTATAGGTTCATAATAAATGTTTAAAATAATTTAAAACATTTTCTAAATGTTTTTCAACAAGTTGACGCGGACCCATGTGGCAGCCGTTATCGAAACGTCTGTCGCCGACCGTGCCTTTATCTCTCTCATCAACCACCAGACCGCGGCACACCATCTCTCTAATCAATCAATGGACAGGAAACGCGAACGGTTGCGGTGACGTCCGCACGGCAACAATATCGAACCGGTTAGTTCCTGCTGTTCTCGAAACACTGTATATGTGAACACACGACCTCTTTTTCGTTTACCCGACTCTTTTTCCGATCGGTGTCATTTTTTCAGTATGTTAATCTACATTATTGTTGTTATTGTATTCGTAGTAAACGGTTAAAATTGATCTATCATATTTGTCAAGATTAAATGATCACCACTGTGCAATTTTTTAGGGTTGCCAATAAAAGTTCACAAATGAAGATATAATAAATAAATGTAAAAAAAAAAAAAAAAATACTAACGAACCGAAATCTTCGAATTGATAAATTTATTAATATAAAAATTGCTTGAATAATAAACGTTATATGAATAACAAACTTTGATCCTAATGTAAAATCTTAATGGTGTTGTCTTAGTAAATAACAACGAATTTTTTTTTTTTTTTTAAGAACGATTTATTCTTGTCTATGATTTAGAACGGTTTTTGATTATTTACACTCTCCAACGATCTTTTTGATTATTATTTGATAAACAAAACACTACTAATTTTCCTAATTCTTATTACGATGTAATCTATTTTTCTTCGCTATTTTTAATTGTGATCATCAAAAAACTATATATTATATGTAAATAATTAAAAATTATATTATTTATTTTGGTTTTACATAGAATTATTATTAAAACGTGAATTTATATTGTTTATATTTAAATAATAAACTATGAAAATTGAAATATTTTCTTTACAAGAAAGCTGTTATAAACGTTGGTCGTAGTAAATCTGCGTAGGCACATACGGAATAATAACTACTGTTTGAAGATTCGGTCCGGTTCGACTTACGCCCTGGTCCGGTTATTAGCGCGATAACAGAGCACACCAGAGTGGTCTAAATATTTACCGCTAACTCAGTTGACCATAACGATACGGTATTTCGACTTTTCGGTACCGTAATGAATAGTTAAACTTTATACTAGTCAAACATTGTACACGGTCGGACGGCAAACGGTTGAGGGGGTGGTTAGGGACACAGTCGACACGAAATCCGCGGAAAACGATCTCGTCGGGGGGGGGGGGGGGCCGGCGGGGGGAGAGCCGCGGACGAGGGGCGGGCCCGGGGGGGGGGGGGGGGGGGGGGGGGGGGGGGGGCTACGACCCGTGAACTTAAAGCATGGCACAAAGCCGTAGTGAGCCATTTTTTATCCAAAGACGAAACCGAAGCCGTGCACCCCCTAGGTTCTAGGGTTGTCGCATTCGCAGCTTTTAATATGTACAGTACGATTCGAAACAATCTGAAATATTGTAATTAGGTTTCTAGCAAAACAAGAAATAACATTTTTAGTCGGAAGTATATATTTATTATTTATCATCTTCTTATGTTATGATAAACAAATAAATTTGATATTTGCAAATTATTAGATGTTTCAAAACAATAGTTAAAATAATAATAAAAAAATTTACAACAATTATTATTTATAATTTAATTGTTTTCGCTTTTGTGACAGCAAATATAATGTAGATATTAAGCAGATAGCGACCGATCGTTAAATAAACGGAAAATAGTCATAAAGATAACATAATATATATACTATTAATAATAAAATATAAAATTATAGTAATAATAATAATAGTAATAAATACTAAAAATAATTCAATAATTCTAAAGTAATAAACGAGTAATCAACGAAGAAATACATTTTATATCGAAAATATAATACTACATTAACGGATCGGTGATTAGTAATGCAAAATATTTAAATATTATACTGTTAACTGAATAGTACTAAACGATAATTAATACTTTTTCTCAAATTAATCGTTTAATGTTTTTGCGCCCCCCAGCTTCTGGCGCCTATGACAAGTGCTTCGCTCGCCTCATCCTAAATACAGCTCTGGTACGACACCTGTCAACAGAATCTGTACGCCTTTGTAAGTCGCATCGCGAAAAATTGCGGGCACGTCTTCGTGGCGAATTCGATGGGACCGAAATGCAGGTAAAAACGTACTTGTTTCGTTTCGCTGTGCACTCGAGTCGGATCGCGGACTCCGATTGTTTCTCACCGGCCGTCCGGCCCAGAGGTGGAACTAGGGCCGTGTTAAGAGGGGGTTCAAAGGGGGCAATTTCCCCCGTACGCCGTATTTTTTTAAATGTAAGTATTAATAATTAATACACAATAATATTTATTGAGTTTTAACAGTATTTAACAAAGTTAAAAATATCAAATTAGTTGTTAATAATAACAAAAATTTCGCCCGGGGATGAATCCCCGTTTTCTATCCCCTAGTTTTGCCCCGGATCCGGCCGAACCCTTCCGATACCATTTCGCGTTTCAAAACAGTTTTGCACCATTAGTAATAAGTTCATTAGGCTGTCAATCGGTTCGTCGTTCGAAACTTGTCGTAAATCGTCAGTAAAAATGTCGCTTTAACAACACTTTACGGTGCGCGTCCGTGTCAACCAGATCTTGGAGTAGGGGCCCCTTCACACGTAGCCACTCGGCAGTGCTTCTTAGCAGCACGTCAGTGGAGTTTAAATTGCATACCTATATGACTACCTATTATTATAAATTGAACGATAGGACATAAATGTTCAGCAACATGTAATACGTTTTGATAGCATTTATGTCATCACAAGTTATCCGATGAACATTTGTGGTTAAAATTTCTCTGCTTATAATTGTCTATAAAATACGATATTTTTTGTTCCTTAGTTTCATTTATATATACATATATACTTTTGATGAAATATTGATAGCCAATGTAATATTTGCAGCGAAAATCAAAGTTGGACGTAAATAACAAGTCATGGAAAATAAAGCTTTGTTTAACTCACTGTAGAAAAAAAATCACATTATGCCTCTTAATAAAACGCCCGTAGTGTTATGTACTCAAGTAAACTCACAACTTTAATTTAATTTTACGATCAAGGGCAGTGGGATATATTATTGAATGAAAAGAAGATTTTGTTCTATTTGCTTGTTATATAATGGTTACTAGAGGGCAACGAGGTATATAATTGAATGGAAAGTAAAAATATATTGTTTTATTTTCTTATATTAAAAAAAAAAAATTAAGTAAAACTAGATCACTACAATAGTAACAAGTTCTTCAATCTATAAATAAGAAATTTTTTCAAAAAAAAAAGATGAATAATATGTAATAAATATATGATAAATATAAATATGTAAATAAATATGTAATAAATATGTAATAATTTTATGTAATAAAAATTTAATTTTGATTAAAATATAAATAGTTTAAATGTATAAGTTAAAAATAATTTATTATAATATAAAATATACCTATTTTTCTAAACAAAAAATGCCATATAAATATTTTTAAACGGCATCATAATTATTCTTAAATTGTATTAAATACAATAATTACACAGATGTATTTCGTTTATATATATTTTACGATAGAATTTTTAAAACTGAGAAAATAACACATTCTTATAACCTATTCCAAGGATAAAACAAAAAATAGCTTATATCTTGGGTTACTTTTTATTCCGAATTGCCTACGCTTTTAACATTTAAATACATACAATTGTGAATCTTTTTTAAGTATTTATGTTTGACTGTCATTATTTCTATTATTAATATTGTATACATATTTTAATTACGACTAAAAATCGACTGATGATTAAGGAGTAAATTTAAAAATACTTTAAAGTACTTGTTCGCGCAACATTGTTCTAGAATTTTCGACACAATTCGATAGCCGACTCCTCTCCCTTTATTTTATCGTTATTCTTGTCATCAACATTAATCAACATAACAGAAACGACGGCGTCGCGAGAGCCGGTTTTCTTTTAAGCGCAGTTATAGTCCGTTTGGTCGTCGAAACAGGTGTGCGTCGAGCGCGAGTGTCATTTCGGTCGTGTGGATTTTTATCGTACGAGTGTGCTTCGACAAGAACTTTGTTCAACGGTAGATGTCCAGATACGTGTGTTGGAGCTAGCCGATTTATCCACATTGAAGACATCTATCGGACCTGAATTCGTCGCACGTGCATTGGGCACGATCGCATGGGCGCAACTAAACGAATTTCAGGCCAATCCAGATACAGAAGCGAGCACATAATGACGCTCGGTG